GCGTGTGCATGCGTGCCCAAGATCCTGAGAGGAGAGTGGGATTGCAGCGTGGCCATCCCTTCTGGGGGGTGATTTCTTGCTTTCTGTCTCTCTGTCTCTCTCTGTCTGTTTGGCGAACGCACACGCCCTATAGTGAAAACAAAAAAAAAACAAAAAAAAAGGAAAGAAATTCTGTGGGCACTTAAGATATTCACAGCATGCCCAGTAAATGGTAAATGTTTACCCCAGGCTGTGGCTAAAATCTAAGGGGAGCCAAGAACATGTGATGCAGTGCACAAAAAACAAGTGGCATAACTTCCAAGTTGCGAAGTCAGCTGTCTCTGTACTGTTCATACAGATTACCATTTGAACATGCTAACTATGTGATGGGCACAGACAGGTGCCCAAGCTTGGATCCTGATGGGTCACAGAGATTTTTCTATTTATGATGTTAAAAACTTTTCTCTAGATTTACAAACCAGTTTACTTTGCAGGTATGGTTTATTATTATTATGGTTCTTTTCATTCCCTTAAAACATTACATCCTAATCACTTTAAGATAGCAGAGACTGAAACAAATTGTTCCCAGTTAACCTACTGCATTTAAAGAGTCTTCAAGTCAGCTGTAGCGGCTCCACAAGTCACTCAACGCTCCACGATGCTACAGTCACATAGGAAGGTCCCATGTTCGTGTCCTAAGGTCTGCCTATACATACCTGGTGCACACACGTGTCTATAATCCTGGCTGGCTGAGACTGGGGTGAATCACTATGTGAAGACCCTATTGAGGATGCCCCTCTCTATAAGTATGTTTGCCTCCTCCATCCATGCAATGAATAAATAGATAAGCTTTTAAAGAGTAGAACCTTCTCCAGCTTGCTCTTTGTTATGTAGAGCAGAATTCAACTGCTACGTGGTGAGACACCATAATACCTGGGCTGACCAAACTGCCTGAATAGATCTGGAGACCTATATTTAAGATTTGGAGGTCCAGAAAGACTAATAAGCCATTCTACATTAGTCTAAACATTGTTTTTTTGAGAGCTTTTTCTATAACGCGCGTGCACTCACCAGAAAGAGAGAGAGAGACAAAGAGAAAGCGAGAAATCACCCCCCCCGGGGGGGGGGATGGCCGCGCCGCAATCCCTTCTCCTCCATTCTCCTCTCGGGATCTTGGGCACACATGCACATGCGCCCGGCTTGAGTTTAAGCCACCGGTTCCGGGATGCGAACACGCAGTCGGCTACATGGGAGTCCAGCGACATAGCCATCATGCTAACTGCTGGTCCCTCAGAATTTCTTTCCTTTTTTGCCTCAGGACTTCCTCTGAGGTTGTCTAAGCTTGCTCAGCCCTGAGCAGAAGTATGGCCATGTCTCTTACTCCAGCCCTTGCTATGACTTTCCCGAATGCTTCAATCCCTTTGTTTCAATGTAGATGTACAGTGCCTTTCTGCAGACTGGAAAGTTGTGTCATTCTTCTCATTCTCTGTTCTACCATGAGATAGTTTTGAAATCATGGCACAGGGTGCAGGAACTTGCTCTGTTAATAGAGAATTTTTCCTGCTTTATCCCCAAGACTGACTCAGATTCACAAGGACCCTAGAGGATTAAGCACCAGCTGCCCTGAGGGAGAGAAGCCTGCAGCACCATTACACAGCTAGGGCAGGCTTTTGCTTCACTTTTCACTCCCTCTCTTATCTTCTTGCTTTTAGAGAGCACATTTTCTAAGCTCAGGAAAATAAGCTAAAGCAGTGTCATAGGCACAATCCTCTTTCTTCATTCTCTCTTCTTGACTACTCTATCCCCTCTATTTGTCTCTATGCTACTAAAAATTGTAGAAAACCACAAAACTATGCTGACACCCTGGTAAGTCTTATCATTTCCCCTAACTTGATTATTTTCCTGCCAAGTGATGCAGTCAGTTGTCTTGTATTATGTTGCAACTTCAATCTTTCATGTTTTCAGCTTCCAAACTTTGCCTTCTTTATGATCAACCTGTTTTGTTGCAAAGCATAAGATGCTGCGAGATTCGTGATTCACTCTTACCTTCTTTTTTAAAAAAAATAATTATTCATTTATTTAATTTTATTATTATTTATTTTTTACTTTGAACAGAGAGAGACAGAGAAGGGAATGTGAGTAAGAAAGCAAGCCACCAGGTCTGGGATTCAAACCATGATTGTCCATGTGGGAATCTCTACCTTAACTATAGTACCTGCTGGCCCTGATTCGCATATTTTCTTTTTCTAAATTGTTTTACTTCAAAAAAAATTTTTTTTCAGACAATTCCTCCTCTCTACCAGAAATCAAACTTTTTTTTTTCTTTTCAATTTTGCCAGGGAGTGTGTGCACTCATGAAGGGATGAGGGGGACAGGAAGGAAAGAGGAAAAACATCCCCCATGGGCATGGTCACGCAGCAATTCCTTCTTTTCCATTTCTCCCTTCTTTGGGGATTTGGGCACACATACAAGTGTTTGGCATGTGTCTCAAGCCACCAGGTCTGGGACTTGAACTGCGCAGTTGGATATGTGGGATCTACTGTCTAAACTACATGCCACAGGCTGGCTCCCAGAAAACCTTTTTAAAATATCTAATCCATCTGTACTTTTTTCCAGTGTTAAAACAGATTTCAAATGTTCTTAGAATTAATTTCTACCTCTGTGCTTCTGAATATGTGCTAGCCTAACTGCCCAAATCCTTTCTTCACCAGTCTTTCTGTATGTTTCCTCATTTTCCAGTGGCTCCTTTTGCTGACTTCAGCACATTCAGCTCTCATCTGTACAGAAGAAAATGGAACACAACATGAAAGTCCTTTTTGGACTCCTTCATTATTACTGTTAATCATGAGGGTTTTTTTTTTTTTTCCTTTTCCATCCAATGGAATATTTATTAAAATAATATTCTATTTCATCACCTATTTTTTCCTTATGTCCTGATAACTTAGTTTCAATCTCTACCACTCTATGGAAACAGTTTTAAAGGTCAGTGAAGGAAAATCATTCAGTCTCATAACCTTCTCTCACTCATGACGTTTGATCACATTCCAGCAGTTTCCCGTAAATCCCAGTTTTCAATTATGACACTGTAAATGTGTCTACCTGTCCAGGGTGTTCCTTGTTCCATTCCCCGATTGTCGTCTCATCCCCTCCCAGAGCTCTCTGTGTTCTTGCTCTAACACTGATCCTGCTCTTATATGTATCTTAAAGTATTTCCACATGTTACTGGATATTTCTACTGGATTCAAATTTAACTTTTCCGAAATGGAGCTTATCATTCTCACTTACCTCCTCTGTCCCTCAGCTCTCCCTTCTACATTCCTTGCTTCCTGATAGTAGCACTTCTCTGCCATCAATGAATTCCTAATTCTTATTTGCATCTCCCATATTTGGAAAGAGGAGAAACAACTGGTCACTGTGATTTATATACATTATCTCATTTAATTCCTACAGCAATTGATTTTTTTATAAATAAACAATCTTAAGACCTAAAGTGGCCAAGTGAGTTGTCTATTGTCACAGAATTTTCTAGGGGTGGGGACCATGTCTGTGATTCCCATATGACTAAGATTCATATGCTTTTCACTGTGTAACAGAATGATGACCCTTAAACAGCAGTACATCCTGAATCATCAAAGAAATATTCAATTACATTTTTGTTATTGTATTTACCGAGGAAGGAAAGCAGACAAATACCTTTCAGAATGGTCATGAACCTTTAACATTGTTAAAAAAAAAAAAAAGTAATGGCTTTATGTTAAACTTTGTATTATAAAAATGCTACTAACCAGAAAAACCTCTTTCCTGAATTCCTCAGTTTCTTAAAGTTGTGTTACAGACTGAACTGGGTATATATTATCCAATTTGTTTTATATTGCATTTGTAGTTAGAAGTAGTTTTTGTAATATTATTTGTTTATGTGTTGGTGGCAAACTCAGTTAAAGAGAATCTTTATCTATTGGGCTTCAGAACTAATTTAAATTTGATAACTGAGCCAAAGGGATCTAAAATTAAAGGGAGGATCAATAGCAGCAGTTAGGGAACAGTGTGGAAATGTCCCATGGGTATGCAAAGTGGAAATTGCATGATAGCTTGTAAGTGTGGGTCATACTGTGGGCAAAGGGTGCACCGTCATTAGGCTATTGCATACTGAACTGCTGTCTATTAAGCACTTCTTTATCCAGTTTAGACAATGAACTTGGAAGACAATATCCTTGCTGAATTAAGGAGCAATCAAAATTTCAATTTGGATTCTATGCCATCTAGATCAAAAAGTTCCAGAAATGAGGAGTATATTTACTTGGTACATGAAAGATGTTGTCTCTCCTATCTCTTAACCTTGTTAATTCTTTTAAGAAGTATTTATGGAATATAGTTTGTTCTTCCAGGAATAAAATCAGTTGGTTAAGTACAAAATAATGATATAAAGACTTAGAAAACTATTCCCTGCTTTCAAGGTTTTATTTCCATTTTTGCTATTTTTTCTCAATTACTCTGAATGACAATATTAAAATCAAAGAGGGTAAAAAATGAATTTTGTTTGGGTAACATAACTCTCTTCCCTAACAAAAGGGTTGAGAAAATGTCTTTAATAAATGGGAAAATGGGGAACAGCAGTTAGCGTAATGGCTATGTCGCTGAACTCCCATCTAGCCGACTGCAGTTTGAGTCCTGAACCTGGTGTTTTAAACTCACGTTGGGCACGTGTGCGTGCATGTGTGCCCAAGATCCTGAGAGGAGAATGGAGGAGAAGGGATTGAGGCATGACCATCCCCTCTGGGTGATGATTTCTCGCTTTTTGTCTTTCTGTCTTTCTGGCCATCCCCCCTGGGGGGATTTCTTGCTTTCTGTCTCTCTGTCTCTCTGTCTGGTGAGCGCACGTGCCCTATAGCAAAAACCTCTCCAAAAAAAAAAAAAAGTGTCATTATTAAATAGGAAAATGAATGAGGATGTGTTTTGACTCTGTACTAAATCTTACCTACCTCAGAGATATAAATGACACTGGTTTTATTTGGAACTTTCAGGAAGGGGTCCAGATCACCAATTTCCAGGAAGTACAAAAGACGTGTCAGAAGAAGCTCATGTCTGCCTGCCTTGCAGGGAGGGCTGCCCCTACTGTGTGGATGACAGCCCATGCTTTGCCCAGGAGGATACGTATTTGCGACTTGCTATCATCTCCTTCCAAGCCCTGTGTATGCTGCTTGACTTCATTAGCATGCTGGTGGTCTACCACTTTCGCAAAGCAAAGGTAAACCCAGGTACCCTGGTTATGAACTTCCTTTTTATTATGGAGTAACTTCTTATTTTTATAAGTAAATAGAATTTCCAAATCCCAGTTACTTGTCTACTATGTAGAAGCCTTTCTATGATGTGATTGGGCCTAGAGTTTGAAAGTCATGTTCTTTAACATCCCAGGAAAAAATAGATCTTAGTGATATAAGACTTTATTTTGACATTTTTTTTTCTACAGAATGTTTCCCCCAACTTACCCTGCAGCTTGGTTCCTCATAGCCTTAAAGTACTCCCCTTTACGTCATCTCTCCGGCCTCCAGAGGAACTTATTCTACCAGCACCCAAAGCATTATTAAGTTTTTCATATCTAGAAAGCTTTCTTATGCTCATTATATTTCACTTTTATTTCTCTTAATCATATTTGAAGATGGTAAATGACTCAACTATTTTTGAGCACATTATACATTAAGGAATGAATTTATTTGGTTTTGCACTCCCAAGATAATAGTGATCCAGGAAAGACATTATCAAGTTTTCAAGAGAACAATCCTTTGGTTCTCTTCTGAGAAACCAAAGAATAGTAAAAGCATTTGGATGCTTCTCAGACAGGGGTAGTCAAAATGCAAAAAATATTCAGGGAAAACCTTTCTGGGAAGCTTTCCCCAGTTTGTCACCCAATCAGTTTTCTGTAGACAGTGTTAGAATTTGTGGTTCTGCTGCTTACAAAACTTATTTGTACCATCTGAAAGAAAAAAACCTCAACTTTCAACCTTTTATGAATTCAAATAACTCCTTCATGTTGGCAAAGGTGTACATGTTAATTTAGATTACAAGGTTCATTGATAAAGTATGAAGTGTTCCCATTAGAAATTTTAAAAAGAAAGCAAGCAACCCTCTGTGAACGGCATCTATTACAAACTCTCAAGTTAACATTTCAAAAAAGTCTCTATTGCGATTCTAGGAAAATGTATTCATTATGTTATTGTTATAGACTTTAGTAGTTATTTTAAATAGACAACTTTATTAAAAGAAGCTTTCAGCACAAATTAAAATCAGTTGTTAAGTCAGCAAGAAATTGGCAAATCTGTCTTTGTTTAGCCAATACTTGTCTTTCTTTTTCAACAAACTGTGTTAAATTGTACATATAATAAAATAGTAGACAAGTGGAGTTGGAAACTATATAGTCACTGTAACCTAGATAAAATTACATGGTTTTAAACAAGGCCTGTTGTGGGGCCAACAGGTGGTGTCAAGATTAAAAGTGCTGGACTCCCACTTGGGCAACCACAATTCAAGTACTGGACCTGGTGGCTTGAAAATCATGCCAGAAGAGTATATGTGCATGCTTAAAATCCTAAGAGGAGAATGGAGAAGGGAGTGCGTGTGGCCATCACCTCTGGGTGAGGGGTGGTGGCAGTAATTTCTCACTTTTTCACTGTCTCTCAGGTGAGCATGCATTTTACTCTATGGTATAAACCTGAAAATAAATAAATAAATAGCCTTCAGTGGTAGGGCAGTAGAATTGAAAGGTTTATTTAATAAATCGCTCTAAAATCTGTGTATAATGTAATTCATTTATACAGTGGGTAACATGTAGTACTTTATGAATTTTAATAATTGATTTTAATAATTAATTGTGCTAAATGAATCAATGATACAAGGTGGATAGAATATTGGCTATTAAGAGACCCGAGGTAGTTCTGGTTAGATCAATGACTTAATCTATCTTAATATTATTTAACATTGCCAAAGTTATTAACATTTTGAATTTCCCTTGGACCTTCTGTGAAGTGATAGGTTAATAACCAAAATATTACTTTACAGAGATATCAGGAGTATAAATATCTTTATACTTTGGTAATTTTTTTATAAATAAAAACTAGATGAAATAAATTAGATATTATGTAGTGTTAAGGTATCCTCCTTTTGAAGAATCAGCTTTCACAAAATGTGACATAATATAAGGAAATACATGTTAATAAATCAGTGACCATAGATCTTCTATATTGAGGAAAGGAAATGTTTGCTGTAATTTTCTCTTGTGATTTCAATTACTGAAAGCAATAGAATAATTCCATGAACAGTAAAATATTTTCAGTATAAGAGATTACAGATTTATAAAACATAGACTTTCATTTTGCTATAAATCAAAGTTTTCATATGTATTTGTAACATTTGTTTTACATAAACCAGAAACCTGACAATCTCTTATAAAGCAATACTGACTTCTTTTTGGACGTTTCCCATTAATTTTTTTGTTTTTTGAGAGGTTTTTGCTATAGGGAATGTGTGCTCACCGGAAAGACAGAAAGACAGAGAGACAGAAAGCAAGAAATCACGCCCCAGGGGAATGGCCATGCCGCAATCTCTTCTGCTCTGTTCTCCTCTTAGGATCTTGAGCATGCACACACATGTGCCTGGCGTGAGTTTAAGCCACCAGGTCTGGGACTAACTAATAACTAAAAGAACAAGACCCACATAATTGATCAATTTACATCGATACCAATAGAAAGATTACAGTATAGCAGAACAGTCATGGGTAAACGTGCAGACTCCAGGGCCAGATGGCTGAGGTTTCAATTCTGTCAGCTCTTTGCATCCTGTGAGACTGGGAAAATTGCTTAACCTCTTCTTTACTGGTAGTCTTCTTTATAAAATGAGATTAACACATTATATTATAAAAACTGACTTAAAATGGGTCATAGACTTAAATAGAGGAGCCAAAACTGTGAAATCTTTCTTAGAAAAAAAGTTGGGCAAAGGTTCTGAATAGACATTTCTCTTAAGAAGATATGCAGGTGAGCCGACACACGTACAGAAAGGTGCTCAGTAACGCCAGTTGTTAGGAAAATGCAAACGAAGCCTGCAGCACTCACTAGCACAGCTAAAAATAAAAAGAGATAAATAATAAGTGTTGATTGAAGGAGTGGAGAAATTGAAACTGGAAATGTAAAATAGTATAGCCACTTTGGAAAACTGGCAGTCCCTTAGAAAGTTAAAAATAGAGCTATGAGATGTCCCAGTCACGTCACTCCTAGTATAAACCGGGAGAAGTAAACATTTATGTCAGCACAAAAGATGTAGACACAACTGTTCATAGCAGCATTATTCCTAAGAGCCAAAAAGTGAATGCAACCCAAATGTCCATCTGCTGATTGAGAGAGACATAAAATGTGATATATCCTTACAATGGAATATCACTTGTCAGTAACAAGGGATGAAGTACTGGCATAAGCTACAACATGGATAGACCTTAGAAACATGCTACATGGAAGAACACAGTTATGAAGGACCACGTACTGTGTAATCTCATTGATATGTAATGGCCAGAATAGGCAAATTCATAATTGAGAAGTAGTTGCCAGGGGTCATTAGGAGGAGAGAATATGGAATGACTGCTAATTAGTTCAGGGTTTCTTTCAGAGGTGATGAAAATATCCTAAAATTAGATTATGGCAATAGTTGTATAACTCTGTCAGCGTACTAAAAACCACTAGATTGTGGTCCTTTAAAAGGACACCAAACTAGAGGCTTGTTTTGCAAGGTTCTTTCCTCCTCTGATGGGTGGGTCAAACAGAGGCACAGGGAGTTGGAAAAAGACAGGAGGTACTGATGTCATGTTGTTTATTGACTGAGTTTAGTTCACAGAGTTCTTAGTAGGCTGCAAAGCTCACAGAGAACTCAGAGCTCACAGTGCTTAGTGCTGAGCTGATCCAAGCCAAAGCCAAGCCAAGTCAGTGGCAAGCCAAGACCATTAAGACTCACAGCCTGAACCAAGGCAGAGCAGAGCAGGGCAGAGTTAGCTAGTTAAGTAGGGCAGCACAGTGCCAGGCTAACTGACCAACTGGTCCCTTTCTCTTAAAGAGGCTGCAGACAATAATGGCTCATTGTCAAAACCAAACTGCTGCACATGCACATGGGTGTTACATTCAATGATGTGAGAGAGCAAAGTCATAATTACATAATAAACACTCAAGGACACTATAGCTATTCATAAGTTGTTTTCCCTGTGTCCTTCAAACATGATGAGATAGGAGGTGAGGGAACCAGGCTCCATTTGCAATACAAGACTGTATCACCTACCAAGAGCAAGGTGCCAGTTGTTTTACATTTCTATTGACTGTGAAGCTTTGTATCATAATAGTGAGCTGGGGATGTATTTGACATGTATTAATGAAGTTTGAGGTATCTACTATGACATACCTACAGTGAGATACCCTGAGAGGGTCCAGGAACACCTGGCTAGGGAAGACCCCCTGAGCTGGAATCTGAGTCTTGTTCTTTGTATCCTCTTTCAGCAGCATGTGAACCGTATTATTTAATTTCTTTTCAGCATAATTCATGGTGTCTCTCATCCTAATTGCCTTTAGTGTGTGCCCTACATTTTATTTAGGCCTGTTAGAAATGTATATTTTAGAACATAGCCTCTCTTGTTTATATGACACCATTTCTGTGAATTGACAGAAATAACCACATTGGCAAATCAAAACCAGGGAACACCAACAGCTGAGCCTGTACCTCAAGGCAGCAAGCAGATACGCTGTATCAACAACAGAGGGATCTCTGTTCTAAAATGAAATGTGTGATCATAATAAGAGATATAACATGGGGACCAGCAGTTAACGTAATGGCTATGTCGCTGGACTCCCATGTAGTTGACCGCAGTTCAAGTCCCGGACCTGGCGCCTTAAACTCACGCTGTGTGTGTGCGTGCCCAAGATCCCAAGAGGAGAATGGAGGAGAAGGGATTGCAATGTGGCCATCCCCCCGGGGATGATTTCTTGCTTTCTGTCTCTCTCTGTCTTTCTGGCAAGCGCACGTGCCCTATAGCGAAAATCTCTCAAAAAAAAAAAAAAAAAAGAGATATAACATGGGATAGAAATTTATGTCTTTCCAGTCTTCCAGGAAATTAAAATTTTGAGTAAACTAAATGGCTTATTCATGCCCAAAATATCAACTACAGTAATTAACTAGTAACAATCATTGATCAAAGATTGATTTAGCATTTTATCATTT